CAAAAATCGAGAAATTTGGGTGATTCCTAAACTAGGGTCTGTAAATGTAGAAATGGGTGTGAAAACAATGGTGTGAGTATACGTGGTGGTTTTTCAACACATTACAGAGGTCTTCATTAAGTTTTCTGAGAATTTTTTTTTTGGGTGCTCAATGGCGCCAGATCTATTGGCTATTACACAAGAAAAATCAAGGAATTTGGGTAATTCCTACAAAAGGGCCTGAAAAAAAATGTAGTGAATATATGTGATGGTTCCCGAACTCATTACGAAGATTCTCATAAAGTTTTTTTGATAAAAAAATTTTTGAGTGCCGCGGGGCGCCATATCCATGGGACACACGAAAATCGAGAATTTTTGTTAATTCCCAAAAAATGGGCCTGTAAATGCGGAAATAGGCGTAAAAAAATGGTGTGAATATACTTGGTAGTGTCCCAACTCAATACGGAGGCCTTCATAAAGTTTTTTGAGAAAAAAATATTTGGTGCTCCGGGGCGCCAATTCCATAGGCTTTTAACATATGAAAAGTCGACGAATTTGGGTAATTCTAAAAAAAGGCCTATTAATGCGGAAATGAGCGTGAAAAATGGTGTAAATATACGTGGTGGTTTCTCAACTCTCTACGGATGTCTTCATAAAGTTTATAGAGAATTTTTTTTTGGGTGCTCCGGTGCCCAGATCAATGGGCATAACACACGAAAAATCGAGAAATTTGGTGTGAGTGTACGTGAAAAAAGTGGTGTGAGTGTACGTGATGATTCCCAACTTATTAAGGAGGTCCTCATAAAGTTCTTTGAGAAAAAAAAATTGAGTGCCCCGTAGTGCCAGATCCATGGGCTATTAACATATGAAAAATTGAGGAATTTGGGTAATTTCTTAAAAGGCCTGTAATGCAGCGATAAACTTGAACAAAATGATGTGAGTACATAATGTTTTTTGAGAAATTTTTTTGGAATATTCAGAGCGCTAGATCCATGGGCTATACATGAAAAATCGAATAATTTGGGTTATCTCTAAAAAAATGGCTTGTAAATGCAAAAATGAGCGTAAAAAAAAGGTGTGAGTATACGTGGTGGTTCTCGAACTCAGTATGAAAGTCTTGATAAAGTTTTTTGATAAACAAATTTGGATGCTCCGAGGCGCCAGGTCCATAGGAGCCTTGACCAGAGGACACCTGACCCGAGGACTTCTAACCCGAGAACGCCTGACCCGAGGTCGCCTGACTCGAGGACGCCTGACCTCAAACTTCTGACCCTAGAACGCCTGATCCAAGGATGCCTGACCCGAGGACTTTTGACCCGAGAACGCCTGACCTGAGGACTTCTGACCCGAGGACTTCTGATCCGAGAACGCCTGACCCAAGATCGCCTGACCCGAGGACTTCTAACCTGAGGACGCTTGACCCGATGATGCTTGACCCGAGAATGCCTAACCCGAGAAAGCCTGACCCGAGGACTTCTGACCCGAGAACGCCTGACTCGAGGACGCCTGACCCGAGAACGCCTGACTCGAGGAAGCCAGACACGAGGATTTGTGACCCGAGGACTTCTGACCCGAGAACGCCTGACCCGAGAACGCCTGACTCGATGACGCCTAACCCGAGGACTTCTGACCCGAGAACGCCTAACTCGAGGACGCCTGAACTGAGGACTTTTGATCCTAGAACACCTGAACCTAGAACGCCTGACCCTGACCTGAGAACGCTTGAACTTCTGACCCGAGGACTTCTGACCCGAGAACGCCTGACTCGAGAACGCCTGACTCGAGGAAGCCAGACACGAGGATTTGTGAACCTGCATTTTGCATGACCTGAGGATGTTTGACCTGAGAATGCCTAACCCGAGGATGCCTGATCAGACTTCTGACTCGAGAACGCCTGACCCGAGAATGCCTGACTCGAGGATGCCTGACCCGAGGACTTCTGACCCGAGGATGCCTGACCCTAGAACGCCTGACCTGAGGATGCCTGACCCGAGGACGCCTGACCCGATGACGTCTGACCTAAGAATGCTTGACCCGAGGATGTTTGACCTGAGAATGCCTAACCCGAGGATGTCTGATCAGACTTCTGACTCAAGAACGCCCGACCCGAGGACGCCTAACCTGAGGATGCCTGACCCGAGGACTTCTGAACCTAGAATGTCTGACCTAAGAATGCTTGACCCGAGGATGTTTGACCTGAGAATGCCTAACCCGAGGATGTCTGATCAGACTTCTGACTCAAGAACGCCCGACCCGAGGACGCCTAACCTGAGGATGCCTGACCCGAGGACGCCTGACCCGATGACGTCTGACCTAAGAATGCTTGACCCGAGGATGTTTGACCTGAGAATGCCTAACCCGAGGATGTCTGATCAGACTTCTGACTCAAGAACGCCCGACCCGAGGACGCCTAACCTGAGGATGCCTGACCCGAGGACTTCTGAACCTAGAATGCCTGACCCTAGAACGCCTGACCAGAGGACTTTTGACCGGAGGATTCCTGACCCTAGGATGCCTGACTCGAGGACGCCTGACCCGAGGATTTCTGACCCGAGGACTTCTGACCATAGAACGCCTGACCCGAGAACGCCTGACTCGAGGATGCCTGACCCGAGGATGTCTGACCCGATGACGTCTGACCCGAGGATGCCTGATCAGACGTCTGACTCGAGAACGCCTGACCCGAGGATGCCTGATCAGACGTCTGACTCGAGAACGCCTGACCCGAGGATGCCTGATCAGACGTCTGACTCGAGAACGCCTGACCCGAGGATGCCTGATCAGACGTCTGACTCGAGAACGCCTGACCCGAGGATGCCTGATCAGACGTCTGACTCGAGAACGCCTGACCCGAGGATGCCTGATCAGACGTCTGACTCGAGAACGCCTGACCCGAGGATGCCTGATCAGACTTCTGACTCGAAAACGCCTGACCCGAGGATGCCTGACCCGAGGACTTCTGAACCTAGAATGCCTGACCCGAGAACGCCTGACCAAAGGACTTTTGACCGGAGGATTCCTAACTCAGGAACACCTGACCCGAAGACGCCTGACTCGAGGACGCCTAACCCGAGGATTTCTGACCCGAGGACTTCTGACCCTAGAACGCCTGACCCGAGAACGCCTGACTCGAGGACGCCTAACCCGAGGATTTCTGACCCGAGGACTTCTGACCCTAGAACGCCTGACCCGAGAACGCCTGACTCGAGGACGCCTGACTCGAGGACTTCTGACCCGAGGACGCCTGACCCAAGAACGCTTGACCCGAGGACTTCTGACCCGCGGATGCCTAACCCGAGGATGCCTAACCCGAGAATGCCTGACCTGAGGACGCCTGATCCGAGGACTTCTGATTCGAGAGCGCCTGACCCCAGAATGCCTAACCCGAGAGCGCCTAACTCGAGGACACCCTGACCTGGAATGCTTGACCCGAGGACTTCTGAACCTAGAATGCCTGACTCGAGGACTTCTGACCCTAGAACGCCTGACCCAAGAATGCCTGACCCGAGGACACCTGACTCGAGAATACTCGACCCGAGGACGCCTGACCCGAGGACGCCTGACCTGAGGGCGCCTGCCTCGAGGACGCCGAACCAAAGGACGCTTGCTGCGAGGCCCCCTACCCTCGAGGCCTCGCCAACCCTCTGATTCCCCTTGAATTTTATAAATATTGACCCAGTTATTTTAATAAACTTGGAGTATTTTCATTCATTTTCTTGAATAATGAAAATACAACACTAAAATATATTCATTTGAAAGTTGATAAATGAATAATATATGTGAAATTCTTCACCTTCAGCTTTCACAGCTTCTCCATGGCTTAGTTAAACTTTAAATATTCAAACTATTTGGGTTTGTGTACAATTTAAGGATCTAGGAACATCACTAATGAGTACAACCTGGACAAAGCAATCACAGATCACTAGAAAGTTATTTTCAATTTTACATCTGCTCGTGCACTTCCCGTTGAATGTTGAACTTGTGAAAGTCAAACCCTCGTGTGAAATGGATAATAATCTCAAATACGTCCATAAAAAGATACAATCTTTCTAGCAGAAAAAATAAAAAGACACCAGTAACTAACAATATTATCTTTTTATCTTTCAAATATGTTGGAATTCTTTTTTAAAAAGTTCATCTTAGCTTGTTTATGTTGTATTGTTGTTATCTGGCAGATTGAGTACTTACTCTTTGTATTCTTTTTGTTCCTCATCATTTACAGATTTTTCAGAATGATCTGATCATTTTGCTTCCGAATTAGCTTACAAACAAAATTTGATAACAAATAAAAAAGTAGAAAAATAATAATTTAAACCTAGATTAATAAACTATGAAAGACTTTTAAACAATGCGATCTGCTATCGAGTTCTCTAAGGTTAGGATTGAGTCGCTCCTCTGTATCAACTGTGATCATGGTGATCTAATAAAGCGAAAACCATAAAATTTTACTATAGAGAAAGAAATCAAGCACTCACTTAAATGTCTATGGATCATAGTTTTTATTAGATTTTTTTTGTATCTCAGAACTGTACCATACCATCTAAAAGAAATTTATAATTATTTTAAGACAAAAGAAGCTAAGAAACCACATTGCATGACAATTGCAAACAAAATCATTCAAGCATTATGTTGATGTTCATAGTGTCAGTCATATTGCCCAAATTTTCATCTGAGATAAAGTTAACTCTATGTGATGTATTGTTTACGAGTTGAAAGCATTCAAGCACTATAATGACAGCCTCAGAGTATCAGCCATATTCCCCAAACTTTCATCTTTCAAGTATTATGTTGACATCCCCATATTGCCCGAACTTTCATCTGATAAATCTCAAGCACTATAGACAGTGATAATATTGTTTCTGTTTGACTTATAGGTCACCAATTCGAGTTGTGGATGGCATTATTAGACTATCTACATCAGCCTCCTTGAGGTGCGATATATAACATAACAAATTAAGAAGAAGCATAGACCACTCAATATAATGTATAAAAAGAGAGAACCAACAAAAATATTGACTTACTTTCTCTCTGAACCTCTAATGCAAGATGGAAATTTGTTGCGTGTCACAGCCAATCCATGAAACAATAACATATTCGTTATATGCACATACAACTTTCTTTTTTGGACCCTGTGAACAAAATAATACCATATATATAAAACACTTGAGCTATAAACTACTAATCCATATGAAAAAACAAAATTAAGAAGAAGCAAAGATCGTCCAAATGTTACAAGCTTTAACCACAAAATTACCTTATTGCGGCACTGCTGTCATGCAAGCATGGCAGTCATTTGAGCACGAATCAAAGTAGAAGTATAGATCATGTCGATAGGTTATATTGCTAATTCGTTTTCCAGCTTCAACGGCAGCTTCCACACCCTTTGTAGTCAAAGGCACGTCTACACAACCAGTGGACAAGATTTTTTCATTCTAGGATAAAAGCAGCTTCACCTAAAGGGAAAAAGAGTAAGATTGGAATCAGATGTGGTGCCGCAGAGTAGCTTAAAACAATTATATAATTTATCCCATGAAAATCATTTCTGAGGAGGGGAACAATTACTTCTTAATGTTATGACGAAATAAATGATCACAGATTCTTCTTGTCTTATGTTGTGTTTATGATTATTTTGAAAATAACAGTTCAAGAATTGGACTATCATACTTGTTTTCTTATTCGCTGGTGGTGGCACTTGATGGTACTGAAGCTTCATCAGTAACCATAGCCTGAGAAGCAGAGGCTTGAATTATACAAATACCTCTCTTTCTATAACAAAACTTCCTCCTCTCAACAATCCCACATCAACCTTGAAACCTTGGACACGTATCTAAAGGAAACATGCCCATAATCAGGCAACAATCCAGAGTTACCATTATTTCTACAAGACTGAAGAGTCCCAACCGATTGGTATAGTGTCGTTGCAGCCATTCTGAGATCGGAGAAATCATAATTTTCCGATCGAAAGACGCATTTCAACTAGTTAAGATGGAACAACTACAATATCTCGAGATGAACTCGAAACACACACAACATATGACAACAATATGAAATAATGGGAACACTTTTGAAACAGGTACAAACACTAAACATGGAAATCAACACAGAATGGCTAACAAGGAAATCAAAGAGGTATAGTTACAAAGCCAATTGTATCAACCATTTTGAATCAACGATTATTAAAACACTCCTAGAACAATCCACACATTAGGAACAACAGGGACATGAATTAAATTACCTTCTGAAGGGAACGAACTTGGAGCAGCGACTTCACCACAACAAGCGGGGAGCTTCAACGAATTCCGATTTCCGAAATCAAGGTCTAAAAAGAAATTGATGGATTCTTTCTTTGATTTTAGCTTTTGTATTCACTTTTTCGTAATCCCTTGATTGATGGAGGACTGGAGACGGGCTTATATATAGAGAGAGAGCAAATAGGACTGATTTTTGGGGAAGAATAGATGAAATTCAAAAAAAAAATCAAGTAGCCGTTGCGGACGATTGAAGGGAGCCGTTGATTCAAGACGAGGAAGACAAGCGTAGGGGTCACTGGTATAGACGTTGCATGTATGTATTGTTGGTTGAGGGCTGAGATAGTGGGCTGGGCTGTTGGTGTTGGTGTTGGGAATGGAAATTGAGGTTTGTTTGGTGATGAACATATGGGCTGAAATATGGCCCAATTTTAGTTTAAAAGTTGGATGAAAAAGGGTTTTGAAAAAATTAAAAAAGAATGTAGTCAATTGTGAATTCGATCAAATTGAGGCAATTGGTTCAATTCAGCCAAAATTAAAATAACATGAATTTTTATTAATTTAAAAATATAAAGTATTAATTAACTAAACTAATTAATCAAATATTTGAGTAAAACTAAAAAAAAATTGAGACAATTTTCAAATATTTATAAAATGTAATAATTATATAAAATAATATATATTATTTGAAAAATTATAATTCATTCAAACTAATTCGAAAACTATTTTGAATTTTATAAAAACTAATTATTTGAAATTGAAGAAGCTCGATAATTAAAATTATGTGTAGAACTCATTGAAAATAAATAAATAAATATATATATATATATATATATATGTGTGTGTGTGTGTGTGTGTGTAATAAGTAGTACATTTGAGCTCATAACTCAAAAAATAAATATGAACACTCCTATTTTATATTTTTCTTTCTTTCTTTTTCTCCCTCCCCCTCCGGTCCTGCTCTCTCTCTTTTTTTCTCAAAACAACACCAAAATAGAAAAATAAAAAAGATCTTAAATAAACATGAAGTGTTTAAAATGAACATTGCACAGTTAAAGTATTTAAGTGAAACTTGGTGCAAACTTTAGAGGATCACCGATGAGTTTGACCGTGAAAATAAGGATTTGTGCGTTTTTCCAATTCCAAATTATATTGGAAATTTTTATGGCCAAACACTGTATTTTGAATAAAGAAATAATTTTCCGAAAAAGGTGAAAAATTATCATGGCTAAACTCTTCTAATTTGACAAATATTTTTATTATTTTATATCCTTAACTCTTAATTCTCCAAAATCCTTTACCAAAACAAAACCCTTGCAAATTTTATTTTCCTTTGGTAACTAAACCCCTGAATTTCTGTTCTTTCTATATGCATTGTCGTTCCTCTTTTTTTAAAAAAAAAAATAAAATAGAGCGCTGGGGCCTTTTATTAAGTGGGCAAAAGAACAACGTACAAATACCCAAATCAATCTACTACAGGAAAGCACATCATAAGCGTTGTCGTTCCTCGTTTTCTTTAGAAGATACTTTTAAATTTATATGTTTTATAAGAAAACTTAAAATTGCTAAAACAAAATAAATAGCTTATGAGAACTTTTTAGCAACCATGTCAATTGTCAAGTGCTTATTATTAATTTTAGCATTTTTATTAAAATACATAATTACTTATTTTTAAGGCCAAACACATATGCAAACCTTTAAACTTGTTCCTAAATTTCATTTTGACACTCCAACTCAACCTTGTTCCATTTTAACCCTTCAACTCCAATTTTTATGTTCCATTTTGGCACTTCTTTCCAAAGAATCAACAAAGTGGGATGTGTGTACTTCACATGCCATTATTGTGTTAAAAAATAATGGATGAACATCATTTTTTTAAGAAATTTTTTTTTTTTAGAGTTTCTGTACATTATTGTGTGAAAAAATAATCGATGAAAGTGTGTTGGTTTTTTTTTTAAAAAAAAAATTAGTTAATCTAAATAACATCACATATATTTTTTTTCATATCTAGTCTACTTGGACTAACTCAAATATCAGCTTTCTAATTTTTTCATTCAACTAAATACAAGTAAAAAAAAATTCATGTTCATTGCTAATTAATAACACTACAAAAAAATGTTGACACTCATAGACTTCATTGGGTTGTCATTGATTTTTTTAAGAAAGAAAATCGACACACTTTCATCGGTTATTTTTCACGCAAAAATATAGGAAAACTCTTAAAAAGAAATTGTTACTTTTTTTATAAAAAAAACAATGATAATCCGTTAGTTTTAATTTTTTACAATAATTAACAGATGATCGTCGATTTTTAAAATGCAAAATTGCAGTTGAATAACATATATAGAAATAAAGAAATCATAAAATTAGTGTTTTATGTTAAATGGTACATAAAAGAAATAGAGTTGAAGGGTAATCTTTTATTATTTTTTAAAAATACTTTTTTTTGTCTTTCACTCTCTTAGAGAATGTGTGATGCACACTCTCTGCCACATCACTTAGAAGTGCCAAAATGGAACATAAAAATTGGAGCTGAAGGGTTAAAATGGAACAAGGTTGAGTTGGAGTGTCAAAATGAAATTTAAGGACAAGTGTAAGAGTCTGCATATGTGTTTGGCCTATTTTTAATATTTACAAATATTTATCAACACGTATAACTCATCAGTTATTTACAATCGAACTAATGCAAATGAAGTTTAAAAGAAAGTTCTATTAAAGTTAGCGCTCGTTTCGCTCAAGAACAAGTTATCTCAAAATTATTAATCTCCGAATAAATTATCGGAATAAGTTATTCCATCCTGTATCACATAACTAAGGTATAAATGGTGGATAAATAATCTAATAAGGTCTAATACCTCTTACCAAACGCAATATAAAATAGTTCTTCATTTTATTTGGCTGATAAACAACAAGTCGACGATCAGGCTGTGGAAGAATGGCTCAAGATGCTTGAGAGAGTTGCTGAAGATGATGAAAACGTGTTTGATGAATTCAACGGATGTTGTTGCTTCTTGGAAAATACCATCAAATCGAGAAACAGAATCCGTAGTAGTTGCTTCGGATGCGGTTGGTAGAAACAGAGATGTTGATGAAATAAAGGCGAAGATGTTGAACATGAGAGACAAAGTTTTTATGTGCACCATTCCCGTAGTGGGGATGGGAGGTTAAGGGAAAAACTACAATGGCTAAGAGAATTTTCAATGATGAACAAATCAAGCAAAATTTTGAAAAGAAAGTTTGGTTGTGTCTACCTGAAATGGTAGAAACGAAGAGCTTTCTTGAACTAATCCTCGAATCATTGACAGAGAGGAAACTTGAGGTCCAAAGTAGAGATATAATAGTCAAGAAGCTCCGAGATGAATTGGGCGGAAAAGCACGACTTTTCCAAACTTGAGGCCCAAAGCACGACTTCATGGACGGGAATAAACACCTCAAGAAGAATCTGCATTCTTGTGACTACTCTTTCAAAGAGGGTAGCATCTACAGTAGCAGTAGATCATCATATGTTGGAAAAATTAACAAGAGATCATTGTTGGTCCATTTTCAAACAAAGAGCATTTGTTGACAGGGAGGTTCCTGAAGAAATGGTGAGCACGGAAAACAGGATTGTTGAAATGTGTCAAGGTCTACCATTGACTACAAGTGTGTTGGGGGGAACGATAAAAGAAAAAACATGAATAGTGTTATAGAATATAATAGGTGTAAATATTATATCTTCCATATATAGCTAATTTAGTTATAGGAGCAGATTCTTAGTTGATTTACTTTGATTAGTTTTCCTTTCATAGAAGCATAGTATTTGTATAAGTATCTTGTCTTGATGAATAGAAAGGAACAAGTCATTCTCCATATAATATAAGTTACATGGTATCAGAGCAACTGTCTAAGCAGGGATTTGGCTTTGCCGGAAGTCACTGTGACTTCACTGGAAGCTACTGTGGCTTCGGGGAAGTAGTTGAGAGCTCTATCTTTCACCTTTGAATCTGGACACCATTTCTGTGTTAGAGAAATTGATTGTCTAAGTGTACTGAATCCATTTTGTGGCATCTGGGTTCAGATTGAAACTCTAAAATCTGAAGCTTGATTGTCTGCCTTTCTCGAGTGAAGCTGGTGCTTCAAAATTCTGGAAATTCAAGAAGGGTGCTAAGAATATTTGTGGGAGATCTGTTTGTGAACTCAAATCTGAAGCTTGAGTCATTCTGGAGCTGTTTCGATAAGGTTATTTAGTCGGAACTCGAAACTTTCAAACGCAGTATCAAAGAAGACGACCTGTCCATCCTTCTAATTTTTGGGTTGCTGTCCAGAAAATCTGTTGGCTTCTCAGACATTGTTGTTTTTTTCCGGTCAACATCCCCTTCGTTTCTGATTATTCGGCCAGATTGGTCTTGGTGCGGTCAGATCTGGTTAGTCATTTTATTTTGGTGATTGTATTGTCTTTTCTTTGGGATTATAGTCTGTTTGGGACTTGTTGGTTTGTCCACCAATTCATTTTGGTACCGTGAGCGTTTTGTTGGGAATATGACTGACTGTAATCAGGGAACTCAAAGGTTTGATAAAATGATTTTGATTTCCTCAAAGGAGTTTGCTGAATTCTCTCGATATCAGAAATTATTGAAGGAATCCACCTCAGTTAATGCCTTTACTAAATCAGATAAAACATGTCTAATCACCTCTTCAAATAAATGGGTGATTGATTCAGGTGCCTCAAATCACATGACCGGTAATTCTAACATTTTTACTAGTTTTCAGTCACACAAAGCTCCCTCTCCGGTTACTGTAGCTGATGGATCAACTTGTAACAGTGATGGATATGGGACTGTTAAACCAACCTCCACTATTACCTTGTCATCAGTATTAAGTCTACCAAAGTTGGCCTTCAATTTGATTTCTGTTAGCAAAGTTACCAGAGACCTTAATTGTTATATTTCGTTCTTTCCGGATCATTGTTTGTTTCGTGATCTTAAGACGAATCAGGTTATTGGTAAAGGACATGTATCTGACGATCTCTATATTTTGGATGAATGGGGGCCTCAGTTTGTTGCCTGCTCTAGTGTTGTGTCTCCATTTGAAGCACATTGTCGATTGGGACATCCATCTCTACCTTTGCTAAAGAAGCTTTGTCCGCAATTCCAAAATATTTCTTCATTAGAATGTGAGTCATGTCGATTTGCAAAACATCATCGCAGCTCATTAAGTCCAAGGGTTAATAAGCGGGCTGAGTCAGCTTTTGAGTTGGTTCATTCTGATGTTTGGGGACCATGCCCTGT